TTTCAGAATAATATATATAATATGTTTTATAATTATTGATGTATTAAAGTGGTTTTATTACTTTGTATACTGCAGGGTAGCTTGTGAATTTACACCAGGTGTAACTAAAGTGAGTTAAGAGTTGATTATATTTCACATTATTAATCCTAGGTAGATAGATAGATAGATAGATAGACAGACCGACCGACCGAAAGACAGATAGATAGAGAGATCGAGAGATGGATATATAGAAACTTAACAGTATTTATTTTTTCACTGTAGCCTACAATATTTAATTTTATATTCTGTTCTTGTGTTTCTTATTATATTTACATGAATATAGACTCATGCATTTACTTGGTCACTTACAACATTCTCAGCATTACTTAGACAACTGCCTAATTTTTTTCTGACATGTATAGTTTACTTCATCTGCATTACTTGCACATTGGTCTTGCAATATATGCACTATTTTATTTCCACTTTGTTTCTTCTTGAACTCTTTTATTGTTTTTTAAATGTGTTTGATGTCCTGTATATTGTGTTGCATTGTTGGAAAAGCTTGGGACTTGAGATTTGTATTGCCATATATCTACCCTGTAGTTAGTAGCTACTGCGCATATGACAATAACGCTTTTAAATGCATCATAAAACGCGTCTACTTTCTAATACAAAATTCCCATATTCCAGCTTTGTGTCACGACTTGAATGCATCATAAGACGTGTCTACTTTCCCAGCTTCCTCTGCACTTCCTGCTTTCACCGCAGAGGAGATGTGGGACTGAGCGAAAACAAAATGCGATAGTTTAACTTCACTGATGAGCTGGGGTCAATGACAGCGTTAACAACGCTACTCGGCATAATTCACCGACCTCTTATTTAAATGTTATATCTGTTAACCTAAGGCGTGTGGCATTAATATAACATTAAGCATGCAGTTTCCTCCCACCAATGGAGACTTTACGTTCGTGTCTTCGACAGAGGCTGAAGGTAGGCTAACCAGCAGAGCTCCACAGCTAGCAGGCCTCAACAGAGCTAACCATTCACCAGCACTATAACGTTGTGTTATTTTCTTTATTTGTTTAACTTTAACATAGCGCAATTACCAACCTACGAATTCATTCAGACACTGTGTTTTTTAAATATTTAACACACTATTTAAATGTGCCAGCTATCTTTTAGCTATGCGAATGAGTAGCCGATTGATACGTGTCGTTCACCAAGCTACAGTAGCTTACAAACACCATTAAAACAATGGAAGCTTTATTTGATACATCTCACTGTTCAGGTGATGTTGCTATTAAAGAAACATGTTATTCTTCAAATATAGCTCAATGACAATGCACAGTAAGAAGATGGCCACAATATAACTTAAGTCCCACTCTTGTTTACACTGGCCACCACCTGACGTAGTGTGGGGGGTTCAGTGGTGTAAAGTAACTAAGAACATTTACTCGAGTACTGTACTTAAGTAACATTTTGTTGCTACTTTGTACTTCTACTCCACTGCAGTTCAGAGGTACATGGTGTACTTTTACTCCACTACATGTATTTAATTACTTTAGTTACTTTACAGATCTGGATTAATGATGTGAAATATAATCAAGTGTTAAAAGAGACTTTAGTTCCACCTGGAGTAAATTCACAAGCTACCCTGCAGTATACAAAGTCATGACAACTAGCTGCACCTTTACCAGCTTTGAGAACACTTTAATGATCAATCATTATAAAACATATAATATTCTGAAATGCACCAATCTGCACAATGACTACTTTTAACTATATTTTGATGCTCATACTTTTAGAATATAATATAATCTGAGGGATGAACACCTCTTTAATGGTCACACATGCAGAGCACACACAGTGACTCTGCTTTTAACCCATCCTAGTACCAGGGGTCTAGTAGGAGCAGTGGGCAGCTATACAGTGCAATGGGAGTGGGGGGGAGGGGGATGTCTGGTGCCTTTCTCAAGGGCACCACGGCAGCGCCCAGGAGGTGAACTGGGACCTCTCCAAGTAGCAGTCCACACTCCATATTTAGGTCTGTTTGGGGACTTGAACCGGCGACCCTACGGCTCACAGTCCAAGCCCCTACTGACTGAGCCACTGCCGGACAATTCTATTTTTACTTGAGTAACATTTTGAATGCAGGACTTTTAGTTGTAACAGAGTATTCCTACATGTTGGTACTTCTACTTTTACTTCAGTACAAGAGTACTTCTCCCAACTCTGGGGGAGGTAAGGCCAAATTAAATATACAGTAACTAAAACAGACATAACATAAAATCTCTTTATGAGTACCGAGAGTAGAGACTAAAGAAAGAACTACATTATTTATTTATTTATGAATAGATGCTGTACAATGATGGTACTATACTGTTAGATCACTGAGATGGTGTCTTTAAATTGCCTTTCTTTGTGCAAGCAAAAGTACAAGCCCAAATATATTCAATTTACAAGTAACAGCAGCAAACACTCACATTAATTATGATTGATAACCTGATGGTTTCAGCTTTAGTTCAGGTGGATGTTTTCTTCTTCTCCAGTACTGAGTGAGATGGTTATTTTATCAAAAGGGAAAATATAAGGGGGGAAACTGATATTAGTGGGTCTTGCGCAAGATGGATTAAAAAATTGAAATGCCAAAACATTCATGCTGTGTCGGCAGTATTTCTTCACACATCCTAGTGCTTGATGTTTTCCTTGTGCCACACCACTTAAACAAGCAAACATGTTTTCCACAGAGCTCAGCGGCACCATCAGTGCTCCGGACGTTAAGCTGAACCTGGGCAGTGACAACGGTAAAGACCCGTACGCCACCACCTTCCTGAGGCAGCGAGGCTACGGCTGGCTGCTGGAGGTGGAGGAGGATGAGAGTGAAGAGAGCAAACCTCTGCTGTGAGTTAGCTTTTTGAAACTTATGCTTTTTTAAATGCAGATTTATAATTTGAGTACAGGCTTTTTGTTATGGATCATCTGATCCCAGCCAGTGGTAGTGTTTGAGAATCTGGCTGTAGCTCACACAAGTCTTTAATGGCTGCTACAAACCATCATCAGAGTAACAGGGACCGCCTGTATACCAAGTGAATTCAAATGATCATGCATCTCTAGGTACAATTTGTCTTTCATTTAACACTGGTATCAGCAGGTACAGGACATTACAACAGCAAGGGTAACACTAAGGGCGTCGCTACAGTCAACTACTGCTGAGGGAGGTGTGCTGCGTTCAGGACAGGCAGCTCTCAGAGTGGAGTCAGGTTAGCAGTAAACCAGAAACCTAATTGTGAATATTCAGTATGATTCGTCAGAGAAAACATTTTACAGCTCCTTAAGAACAAAGCACGACTCTGAGATGATTAGCTTTGAACTCTATGATACAGCGTTACTCCACTGTCTGTCCCCTCTTTAACACCGAGATATTCCTCTTTTAGCGAACAGATAACTGTTACTACTGAAGACCTCTCATTAATGCTACCTGTCTTTTCTGTGGGTTGTTCACTACAGTAACTTAGCTGCTCCACTGTTAGGATGGAGAGTCATGTGCACAGTTGTATTGAATAAGATATTGTTTGATTATCGTCACAGAAGTTAGGTGACAATTAGTTTTGATACTGATTTTAGGGGATGTCTCCCAGCCAGAGTTCCCATTAGAATATTTTTTTCGCCGGTCAACATGTCCATTAAAGTTGAAATCTTCCGGAGAAAATTAGAAAAGTGCCGGTCAAAGATCTTCTTTGTTATTTATTGAGCTTTAAAACAAATTGATATGATTCGATATTAAACAAACTAATTATAGTAGATTAACTACATTATTCAAAAGTGAACAGTAATTTACAATATCAGGGAATACTAAACGGAGCGCTCTCTCCCTCTCCTGACAGCCCGTCAGTATCATGCAGCTCGCGGATCAGTAATGAGTGACCCAACATTAAAACTAAACATATCTATAACTAGTTAGGTAGTTTGAGAGGTAATTAAAATAGCTACGTGTGATATTCTAACCTGAAGTGTGTGTTTTGCTCTGCTCACCGCTGCATGTGATCATGCAGAGCTGCGTGTCGACTCAGCAGCTGATCTCTCTCTCTCCCGTCAGATTAGACTTCACTCGCGTTTATGTCCATATCGATCAGATATGTCGCATACTCTTCTTGTCTGTGACATACTCTTCTTGTCTGTCACATAAGTGGCGCAACTGATGCGGTATTGTGCTAAGGGGAAATAATTTTGACTGGACATTTTGACCGGAGAGATTTAGATTTGCCGGTCTTCAGCATATTTTACCGGTCATAGTCCGGTAATTACCGGCTAACGGGAACTCTGCTCCCAGCCCTATGAAACAGTTATTGAACAGTGAGTCACAGAGGAAAGGGGCTGCTGCTGAACCACTTATAAAGCATGTTTTACTTTATGCCACATCCCAATTATTATCAACACCAAAAAGCGTCTGATGTTAGACGCAGAGACAACTGACAGGTACATATCTTACATTAATAAACAGCAGGACGTCAGCTCTGTTGATGAATGTTGTTGTGTCTGTGTGAAGGGAGGAGCTGGACATTGACCTGAAGGACATCTACTACAAGATCCGCTGTGTGCTGATGCCCATGCCGTCCCTGGGATTCAACCGGCAAGTGGTTAGGGACAACCCGGACTTCTGGGGCCCTCTGGCCGTGGTGCTGCTCTTCTCCATGATCTCCATCTATGGACAGTTCAGGGTGAGAAGGACACAAGGATGAGACCTGTGTCATCCCCATTCATACATTCAGCCATGTTTCCCACACTGTTCCACTGCAGGACACACCTGTAACCTTGGTCCTTCCATAATATGAATGCTCTGCTTTTTATATTTTTCTCTTTATTTTACCGACTGGGAATACATAATGAGCCCTGAGCGAGTTGAACTGTAAGAGGCTATTTGTATGTGCGGTTTGGCAGTTAAAGAAAATGGATGTGAAAGAGAGAACAGTACTTCAGAATTGAGGACATTGTTTCTTTCTGAATCAAGGGCACTGCTCAGGCTAGAACAATGATCCTATCAGTTTTCGGTTTCATCTTTTTTTAAAAGATTTTATTATGTTCTGTCCCTGTGGGGGTGTGAAACACTTTTTCTCGATGTGATGTCTTCTTGGTCCATACAAACCCAGTAGTACAATGATGATGACCTTTTATTTTAAGATGTAATCAACCAATCCTTGTTTCGATGTAACAAAACATCTGATCAGCCAATATAATATAGCCAATGTCTGAAAGTCCCCGAAAATATCATTTCTATTTGTGTCAGCTCCTGAGAAGTGCCGAATGTATCATTTAGGAAGGCGTCCTTAAAGCGTGCAGAGGACAGTGGACACAAAGACAGGATCCGTGGTAGTTAGTTTAGTTCCTGCAGTGGAAAATAGCTATTTCCTCACTCACTGTTCAGAATCAAATACAGCAGAAGCTAATGAATCCTCATCTATTTCATTCTTAAACTACATTTCGAAATTAAAACTTCAAATTGAAGACTTTATACTGAATTGAAAGTCATATTTGTGGAGCTGTTCTTTGGTACCTATTTGTTGATATATATAATATGATATGCATGTCAGTGACTTGTTGTAGTAACATGTTTTCAGTGCTGATGCTAAACTCTCAAAGCTTTTATTTGGCAGGTCGTGTCTTGGATCATCACCATCTGGATATTTGGCTCACTAACAATCTTCCTGCTGGCTCGTGTTCTGGGTGGTGAGGTAAGCAGCGGACACAGTCATCTCTCCAGTCAGACATCACTGGACCTGTTCTCATGGAGTCCCTTTGTTCTTCTGCGCAGGTTTCCTTCGGCCAGGTTCTTGGCGTGATCGGATATTCCCTTCTGCCTCTCATCGTTATCGCTCCTCCACTTTTGGTGATTGGAGGGTTTGAGATGGGTTCTACACTAATCAAAGTGAGTCAAACGTGCAAAATGAATGTTCTTAGGCTTGGGCGGTATTACGGTATACCAGGGTATTTCGAAATACCGTCGGTATGATTTTCAATACCGTGACGTCACAGACTGTGCGCCAAATCACAGATGCGTTTCATTCTATTACACTGACACGGAGTTTTGATAGGGACGACATTGGTTGTAATGCACAGCACGCGCCAGCAGAGGGCAGGGGAGGGCAGTCCATCTTTCCCGCTCTCAGAGCTCAGCACAGAGCTGAGCTGAGCAAGATGGCGGCAGCATTTGCCGGCCCCGAACTCGGACAACTAGTAAAAAAGAAAAATGCCTCTGCGCCTGTTTGGGACTATTTTGGGTTTACTCGTAATGACTTCGCCAGTGACTTCATCCAGCACAACGAGAGACAGAGGCACTTCTTTGGAAATGTTTAAGACGGGGTGAGTGAGTGTTGACATTTTTTAATCCTATGCAACTGGTTGATGGTTTTGTAGTGGAGGTCGGACGGTTTTAAAAACGAAAGCATTAACGTGCTAAACATTCACGCGAGTAATCCAATGAATCAAATGGAAATAAGGTTTTTAACACATGCACGGAATAATATTGCCAAACTAGTTAGTGAATATAGCAAACTTTATTCAATAAGTCAAGTATTTACTCCCGGAAAATGTTTATGTATGATGATATATTGTTAACTTAGCTCACAATGGAAACAACGTCGGACATCTACAAACGCGTCCTGTATCCGATCTCAAAATGTGCCATTTGCACAATGTGTCATGTATGCAGCCCTTGTTTTGCACTTGCGCGCA